TGTGATTATTCTCTAAAATTGGTGTATTGTACTGTTTCCACGTTTGATTAAATTCTGAGCCGTAAAATTGGTACTATGTTAAAAATAAATAATTATTTATTTTGAAAATTGTTTGAATTGAATGACAAGGTGTTATTTTTCTTGTGGATCCCACATGAAATTATATTTAGTACCATTGATCATTGCATATTTGCATTACATCCATAAAATTTGTAATATTCAAGTATAATTGCTATATATAATTAGAGTTTCAAATATCAAAATTAGCAAAACATAATGAACGAGTCTTAACATAATGATTTTTACAAAGACTTTATAAATAGATGAACTCTCCAATGGTTGATGCAATAATAAGTTGAAATTTTGTTAGCGTGGCAATGCATGAAACATGATATATACGTCTTGAACACGGGGTTATAACATACTCATAATTAATTTTATTTATATAAATTTTCAAAAAATTTAATATATTTGAAACATATAATTCAAATGATATTATTATGATGAAAAGTAAATAAACATTGCACTCTTTTTTTCTTGGACGAGGTTTAGTCCATTTGGATTTTTCTAGCAACATTTTTAATGAGACTACTTTTAGAGTTTATTCAAAAGGTTAATGTACCCTTTCTCCTCCATTATGATTTTTCTATTAATGTTTTCATGTCCCATAATCTTTGCATGAAGGACACTCAAAATGGAGTATTATAAACATTATAATTATGGATCTCTATAATCTACGAACATTTACCCTCAGCATAACTTTATTATTTTACTCTCATATGTTACAAGACTCCGATAAACAACAAGATCTGTTTTTCATCATACCATCATACTAACTATAGTCAATCAAGGATATATGAATATCTTCTATGAAGACAATATTAATTCAAGGTTATGAAAAAGACATCAACATGGAACATCATAATTTTTAATAAAAGCTTTATAAAGATGGTGGCACTAAAGACACTTGGCTAACAAGATATGGATGACGAAATACAAGGATCTTCACTGATTGAAATCAAGGTACTAGCTGTACTCTTTTTCCTTCGCTTATGTTTTGTCCCATTGAATTTTCTTAATAAAGTTTCAAAGAGAAAACATGTCTACTATTATGTGCTAAAATAATTGTTGCCCACATGCGCTCCATATCAACCACAAAAGCTCCCATTGTATGCCCACTAGTCGCAAAGCACTAGCACTACGGCCTTCGAAGTACAACAAACCGTCGAGGTTCTTCCTAGGAAGGGAGTGTAGACCCGCAAACACTTACAAATAAATATTTAGAGATATCGCCCACATCTTGACTTTTAGAATTAGGGTGTGTCCCAAATTCTGTTTTGAAAATGTTTAGGAATTCTAATTAAGTTCGACATTTAGAGAAATTCTATTTGTGGAATGCTTTTCGAATCCTATTTAAGCACATTCTAATTGAAGTTCTAATTGGAAGCTCAATTGGAAGTTGAAATTTGTGTTGGATTCAAAGAAATAAAGATATGGACCAGGGAGAACTTTTCGGCACAATTATGCTCGCCAACGCTCAAGCACCCAAAGCACTAAAGTTGGCGCTAGCTTGGTGCCATCGAACACTCGAGCGGTGGGGCGGCACCTGCTTACTGCTTGAGTGCCATATTCATCTAACCCAAGCCCTTTTTTTTCGTTTTGACTTGTTATGAGTTTCTTTCCATCTATAACTCTACTTTAAGAGTTTAAAACATTATTTACATATATTTAGCTTTGCATTATATTTTAGATTAAGTTAGACAAATCAAAATCACAAAGTCACTATAATTCTTTTTCCATATTTCAGTGAAATCTCCATTCATTTGCTAATTATTTTGTTTTTAAGTTTGTGATCAATTACTTCATATTGTGTCACTATTTTCTCGCCTATTATCACAAACAAAAAATTGATATTAGAATTATCCTGTATTTTCATCATCGTTTATAACATACTGGTATCAGAGCCAATGCTTTATTCATAAGGAGATTTTTTGTTTTTTGGATGATAATCATGAAGTATGATATATCGCTTTTGGATCGTAGTACAAGATTTTCTTTGTGGCAAGTAAATATATGAATAATACTCTTTCATATAGATTTGGACGATGCATTGTTGGGATTTGACAAGATTCCCACATCTTGGAATTAGAAGGAGAAACAATGTAGGGATCGGAAGGTCCAATAATAAATTCATCATCATCTTTTGAATAACAATCTTGAGGATGTTTTGAAGGAGAAGTCTGTTGCTGCGTTGTAGTTAAAATTGGAGCAATTGTGTATGACAAGAGTCTTACTAGCAAACTGCACTTGAAGCGCCTTCATTCTCATCATATCACAGAAGGAATATCTCTGAAGATCACCTAATTCTGTTTAAGGAAATCACCACTGATCTTGAAACTTGAAGGTTAAATATGATAAAGAAGATTTGAGTTTGATTTTATTGTGTCCGTTGCTAATTTCATATATGTCTTTTAGAGACACGATCCTATATATTATGTTACTCTTTATTCAAAAGAGAAGATGAAACATCTCGTTCGAATTGAGACTCATGGAGATGACTTTATTGTTGATGGTGGTTCTAGAAGGAGTAAATTAAAGTCTAACTTCACAAATAAAATTTGTAATTATTGTAGGAAGAATGGGCATTTGGTAAAGGATTGCTTTCAGTTGTATAATAAAGAAAATTTGGTCGCAGCTAATTATTGTAATTCTTTCTCCATATTTTAGTGAAATCTACGTTCCTTTGCCAATTATTTTATTCGTAAGTTTGTGATCAATTACTTCATATTGTGTCATTATTTTTCACCTATTATTATAACAAATTGGTACCAAAATTATCCGATATTTTCATCGTTATTTATAACAGTGACATTACAGGATAAATTGAAAGCGTGACAATTCGTGACACCGTCAATGTAATTGTCAATACTATAAAACGAGGCGTACACATAGTGAATTGCATGACAAATGTCCCTAAAATGAAAATATTTGAACTTGAATTTAATCATGACTTTCAACATAATGATGAGAGAATGTAAACTTTAAAATGACCATAAAGGCCCCTAAGCTTGTCTATAAATAGAATCATTTACACAACTAAAAAATGGTTAAAAGAAGAGAAAATAGTTGACTTCGGAGAAGTAAAAAACATTTAAACAGTTGAGTTCCATTTTTCACTCTAAACAATTGTCTCGAATAAAGGCAAAACTAGGGTTAACTCTCTTTCAAAATCTTAGCATTCTTTAATGCATTTTTCGACATTTTTCGACCAACATAACACTATAAAACTCATCATCTATTTTTTTTTTCCTCCCCAAAAAGTTAACCAAAAAAAGCCTAAAACCCCCAAAATGGCAAACCCTGCCAAAATTCTAGCAGAAAAAAATTTCTATTTTTTATTTTTTGAAATAGAAAAAAATTACCTGCAGCTATACTATTGTGTATGTTTATCTTTTTTCCCAATATTCGCTGCATACAGATTTCTAAACATTATTAACTAGTTTTGGTCATTCTTCTGTTAGTAGTTTTTATAATCCACATACTAAGTCACATAATTCTTGAACCAACCTTCAGAAATAATTACTGTTGAAGTAATCTAATTGTATCCACTTTAACCGATTAAGTTTTTGTTTTTTTTTTTNACAAATAAAATTTGTAATTATTGTAAGAAGAATGGGCATTTGGTAAAGGATTGCTTTAAGTTGTATAATAAAGAAAATTTGGTCGCAGCTAATTCTTGTAATTCTTTCTCCATATTTTAGTGAAATCTACATTCCTTTGTCAATTATTTTATTCTTAAGTTTGTGATCAATTACTTCATATTGTATCATTATTTTTCACCTATTATTATAACAAAATGGTATCGAAATTATCCGATATTTTCATCGTTATTTATAACAGTGACATTACAAGATAAATTGAAAGCGTGACAATTCGTGACACCATCAATGTAATTGTCAATACTATAAAACGTGGCGTACACATAGTTAATTGCATGACAAATGTCCCTAAAATACAGTGAAAATATTTGAACTTGAATTTAATCATGACTTTCAACATAATGATGTGAGAATGTAAACTTATAAAAATGACCATAAAGCTCCCTAAACTTGTCTATAAATAGAGTCATTTACACAACTAAAAAATGGTTAAAAGAAGAGAAAATAGTTGACTTCGGAGAAGTAAAAATCATTTAAACAGTTAAGATCCATTTTTCACTCTAAACAATTGTCTCGAATAAAGGCAAAACTAGGGTTAACTCTCTTTCAAAATCTTAGCATTCTTTAATGCATTTTTCGACCAACATAACACTATAAAACTCATCATCTATTTTTTTTTTCTCCCCAAAAAGTTAACCAAAAAAAGCCTAAAACCCCCAAAATGGCAAACCCTGCCAAAATTCTAGCAGAAAAAAATTTCTATTTTTTAGTTTTTGAAATAGAAAAAAATTACCTGCAGCTATACTATTGTGTATGTTTATCTTTTTTCCCAATATTCGCTGCATACAGATTTCTAAACGTTATTAACTAGTTTTGGTCATTCTTCTGTTAGTAGTTTTTATAATCCACATATTAAGTCACATAATTCTTGAACCAACCTTCAGAAATAATTACTGTTGAAGTAATCTAATTGTATCCACTTTAACCGATTAAGTTTTTGTTTTTTTTTTTGATAAATTTGTCAAACAATTTTGTTAAATCGAACAGAGTTATGAGCCGCTAATGTAGCGGTTTGTCGAACATTTGACTTGATGAAAAATGTTCGATCAAAGAAAACTATTAACAGATTGGGGAGAGAAGAAGGCGACGGAGCTACAATAACATTGATACAATAATGCATTACAACTCACTAAAAATAAGCGAAATACGCAGGAGATTAAAGGAAAATAGCAAACCACAAACTAACATGAATACGGACACACATGAAGACATGACTACTTGTCATTGACTAGGACATCGTTTTACATGGTCATAGCCGGGTTAAGCTTCGGCCCATGAGGTTTACTTCTTGCTGGTTTCTTCATCGGGTCCGGCAATTCTTCCAGCAATGAAATTTGGTTTGAATTGTTCTGTTCGAAGTCGAGAACCTTTGCTTAAACTGATAAGAGACTTGGGAGTCTTAATAGCTGTATTGATGGCATTCTTATACGCCTCCTTTCCAGCAGCTAACATCTCATCCTTGGTTTTATGCAGCGTTCGTAATGCTTCACAGGCAGTGTCTCCGACATCAGCAAACCTATTTACCCATGCCGGAAGCTTCGGCACTCCCAGCCTCTGCAACAACTCATTACAGAAATGGTTACAGTTTCTCGCCAGCAGGTCGTACTTACTTCCCGGCCACTCCTGGCTAAGTTCTTTTAGGATCTGACTCACCTTGGTAGCGGACAAATTTGTTCTTCCGAGAGCTATACGTTCACGGTGTGTATACGTCAAGTTTTTGCCGGCGGGACAGCTGTAAACACCGGATCCCTTGTCGCACTGCCAGTATCCCCATTCCTCGTCGCCGTAAATCTGAACGGCGGTGTGAAAGACGCCGCCCATAGGAATGACCTCTTTACAGACGTTGTTGAGTTGAACGAGGGCGTAATTCAGGGTTTCATTGCCGGAACTACTATTAATTGTAACGTCATACACGTGAAGGATCACTTCTGCCATCTTAATTGAGTTCAAACTCTCAGGCTCTCTCTCTGTGCGTGACAACTAGTCTTTCAAGGTTATTTATGGTACATGATTATCAAGGGCAAAAGGGAGAAGTGAAGTGTGAAAGTAAAAGCTAGGAAATTACACGACATTTTCTTTCGTCTTTCGTGGCTCTTGCACGTTGAAATGCATAAATGTGTATCATTTGCTAAAAAACAATTATTAACATTGTTATATTGTGCTTGTCGAGTTTCATTATAAGTTTAGATTTTCTGGGATTTGAAGCAACATTATCTACTTACTTAGGGAGAGAGTCATATAAATTATAAATCATTTTATTTGGGGAGAAAAACCCGTATAAAAGAGAGGACGAATAAAATACATAAATAAAAACAAAAAATCTCCTAAATCAAGAGAGTTAATTATTTTTTTCCTTTCAAAACGCCAATTATTAATTTATTATATATATAAGGAGAATTCTGCAGATTGTCACCGTACACATTTGGCATGGACATTTTAATCGAAATTGAACATTTCGAACTGAAACCGAACTAGAATCGAAGGTTTCAATTCAATTCCAAAAATAATAAATTAGGAACTGGAATCGGGAACCACAAAACAAGTGGATCCGAGTCTATTCTTGGTTCATGAACCAAAACCATGAGTGCCTGAATAGAACTAGTTTTTCTCGTATAATTTTTATTTTTTTACAATTTATAGAATGGGCAAAAAAAAAAATGAAAAAACAAATTCTAAAATTCTAATTTGGGTAGTGATGATACCAAAAATCTTTACCTATTGATTTTCGAGCTTGACGACTTAGAATGTGTACGAACGAGATACCCGATACCTGAAACAAAGGCATCAATATGTGTCCTCGTCGCTCCTCCAAAACTTAATTTAGAGAGAATTTATGCGTGAGACTAAAGACTGAAAATTATGTAAAAACGTACCTAAAAAATGATCAAAGTTTTTGTATTTATAGATATAGGTAGTATTCCATCATGATAGGACAAAAGAGATATGATATGACTCAATCTTATCGGAGTTGGATAAGCCTTATCATATAAAATAATACTAATGGATTAAGTTTGTTGGAAGCAAGGTCAAGGCATACACCTGAGGAGACCTAGAACCAATGGACTATTTTCATGTCCGAGGACATATGCCGACGAGATCTATTCGATTTGCCCCAAAAAAGGGTTGAGGACACATACCTGAGAAGCTCAAGTAAACGTCTAACGAAATGGTCAATATTCAACCTCGAGTATGCGATCCTCGGGTTGGAAAGTTTTTTACTATATCAGTGGCCCCCTTGCATTCATGTCAGAGATTTGCGCAATATGCGCATTTTTGGAATGAGATGCACAAGAATGTCTGGTTCGAAAATATGCATGCTCATGCCTAGAAATAGGCATGCTCAATCTTAGGAATTTGTATACTTAAGCAAATGATTAGGCATGATTATGCCAAAGAATAGGCAAGCTCATGCCAAGAATTAGGCATAATCATGTGAAGAGATTAGACATGATCATGCAAGGAAGTAGAAATGCTCATGCCAAAAAATAGGGGAGCTCATGCCAAGAATTAGTCATACTTATGCTTAAAAGTTGTAATTCTAAAGCAAATGATTTGGCATGATCATGCAAATGAGTATGCATGATCATGCGAAAAAATAGGCAAGCTCATATCAAGGATTAGTTATGCTCATGCTTAGAGGTTGTTATGCTAAAGCCAAAGATCTAGCATGATCATGCAAGGGAGTAGGCATGTTCATGCTAAGGAGTAGGCATGCTCATGCCAAGAAATAGACAAGCTCATGCTAAGAATTAGTCATATTCATGCCTAGAGGTTGGCATGCTAAACCCAAGGATTATGCATGACCATGTTAAAGTATAGGCATGTTCATGTCAAGAAATACGCAAACTTATGTTAAGGATTAGTCATGCTCATGCCTAGAGGTTAGCATGCTAAAGCCAAGAATTTGACATGATCATGCCAATGATTATTCATGCTCGCTCCTAGAGGTTGGCATGCTAATGCCAAAGATTAGACAAGACCATGCTAAAGATTAGGCATATTCATGCTCAGAGATATCCTTTATAATCCTCTATTATTGATTATTAGAGAATTCCCCTCCTCTACCCGTGATATTTTTCCTAGTTGAGTTTCACATAAATCTTTCATTTTTGTTATTATTTTTCATATTGCCTATTCTCATTTTTCGTAACAAACTAGTATCATAACAAATTGGTATTAATTTGTTTTCTAATAAATGGTATCACAGTTAGGTTTGGCAGTTCTTAGGAGAGCTAGTTTAGTTTCGTATTACAGTAATGTTTGTTCAACTCAAATCAAGATTTGATTTTCGACATGGCAAGTATGAAGTTTGATATTTCGCTTTTAGATCTCAAGAACAAATTTTTGTTAGGCAGCTTTTTGTTTAGACACTAAAGGAGAAGTAATGTAAGGATTGAGTTGTGATAAAGGGGCAAAGAATGTCCTAGTTATATTTCTTGCGGGGTTCTATGATCATGTTTGATACAACTATCACTAAATTGAAGAAAAGAGATATTAGTCCTTAGGACAGGTTCGATGAGGCTGATTTGGTTGTTTATGCTATGATTAGCATTGACTTAGATGGAGATACTTGTGATCTTGTTGCTCGTGGTGATAATTCAAGCAAATTGGGTAACTCAAATGTAGTTAGTTGTGATATTGTTACTCTTGGTGATAATTCGAGAGAAAATTTGGTACCTAAAGGCTGATAACCAGTGCTTGGATTTAGTTGACATTTGTTGAATTTGACCTTAGGGGCTTCTGTGGAAGAAATGAACAATTTTTGGTGGAGATTTTTGTCAGAGATTTTGTTGAAGAGTTAAGGTCTATTCCTTGCTATGGAATTCATTTCTAAGAGGAGAATACTTGTTGAAAATTGAAGTTTTTTCGTTGCAATGGAACTTATGTGAAGGTAGATATTTGCTAGAATTTAGGTGTGACCCAAATTATATCGAGAATTTAGTTGGGAGTTGGTAGTATGACTTGAAAAAGTTTTGAAAGAGTCCAAGACGAATAAGGAGAATGTTTTGCAATTTTGGAAATTTTTAATCTCCTATTTCTACTCAAATACTCCAGTGTTTGTTAGACCTATTATATTAGGATTTCACCTTATATTAGACTCTTCATTGTATTATATTCTTCTAGTGTGTTAAAGATTCTTTAATTATAAATGTGTGGTATACAATACATATTGTAGGGATTGCAAAATGACTCGTCGGCTCGAGGCTTGGAACCACTGAGCATAAGCTCAGGCCGAGCCCAAGCTGGCCAGGACGAGCTGAGCCCGTTTAAAAAAAATGAAAACAACAGCTGTAGCCAATAGGAAGAAAATAAAATAAAATAAAATTCAAAAAAGCCTACACGTTGCAGGCGGCTTTGACAAGCTGCTGCTGCAACGACAACTGCTTGCCAACTGCCTACAAGCAGTTGTCTCTTGTTAAAGAAAGCCTGCCTTTGACTGCCTTTAACAAGATAGATAACATGTAAAATTTTTTAAACGAATACATTTTTTGGCTATAAATATGTGAAAAAATTTTACCAGACTGCATTTGACAAGATAGATAACGTGTAAATTCTTTCAAAGTTTGAATTTGAATTTGAAATTTAGTTATAGCGAATACATTTTTTTGGCTATAAATACGCGAAAATTTTTTACAACTTCATATCAATTTTACTTCAATCAATCGCCAAGTTCTTTACTCAATATTCAGTATTCTAGTCTCCAATTTCTTTACTCCATTTTCTTTACTCTAATCTTCAATTTAGTTGGGTTCTAGTTTCAATTTCGACCTCTAATTTTTTAAGTCAGTCTTATTCAGTTTTTTTTACTCTAATATTCAATATTTTTTTACTATAATAGGTATAAATGAATTTTAGTAGTGATGAGATTAATCTGTTTAAGGGTAGTTTAAGTACTTCATTTGGCTATGATGCATCTCAAAATGTTCCAGTTAATTTGGAAGATTTCGAAGATGAAAAACTACTTGAGATAAAAGGTCGAAAAAATCACGGATTGTTGGCAACATATGACACATAAAAAAAGTTAGGGTTAAAAAATGGAGTTTTTATTTGGAAAGAATGTTGCAATTACTATGACAAAGAACTTAGTTGGAATTCAAGTTCAAATACAATGCATTTAAAAAGGCACATATTANAAAAATGGAGTTTTTATTTGGAAAGCATGTTGCAATTACTATGACAAAGAACTTAGTTGGAAGTCCAGTTCAAACACAATGAATTTAAAAAGGCACATATTAAGAAGTTGCAAAGTAAAACCAATCGATCTTGACCCGAAACAGACCGAACTAGTGTTTACCGGTTCTGGTTCTACTCTTTTCACTTTTGTACATTCACATGAATGATTTCGTGAAGGAATCCTCTTACGATGATAGCGTCAATACACTTTACTCGTCTTG